TGTTTCTAAATTTGTAATCTTGTAGATGTAATTCAATAGACTTAATTTTTTTATACATGTAATTTAATCGATATGTCTTATTCCTTTTATGTGTAGAAAAGTTTTGTTTGGTACTTGCATAAGGACTTGAGTGTTGAGAGAGAAAAATCCTAGAGAGATGGACTTTGGTCCATGAACTCTCTCCTCTTAATCTCAATCTCCTTCTCCTTTCTTCCTTGTTTCATTTCTAAGTAGTGTTGTTTGTGATTCAAGTGGTGGAGAACCTTGAATCAAGTCTTCGGGGTCGTACGAAGTTGAGTTTTCTTCTTTTCTTCCTCGGTGTAGCTTAAAGATTCGACTTTGTTTTGTCTGAGGTAAGGGAACCTAGAATTTCTACTGTTCAATGTTGAACTAAAGTATGAGCTGCATGTTGTTTGAAATCGTTGGTTGAGTGTGGGTTTTAAGTTGAGAAAGGTGAAGTTGAAAGAGGGTTTTTGAGTTGTTTTAGAAAGAGAGATGATTTGAGTTGACTTTGAGTTGCATGTTGATATTCTTGGAGTTTTTATGTTAGATGTGGTTAGTGTTGGCTTATCCTTGGATTGCATGTGTTGTTGATGTCTTACTTGCGTTGGGCGTGAAAGGGCCCTGGTGCCCTCGAGGTTAATTCGTCGAGCATGAAAAGTACACCATGCCAACCATAATTACCCTTGTAGGTCTCTACCAGACCTACGTCGGGCGTGATACTTACCATGTCGGGTGAGATTCCCTTGGGGAGTCTCTGCCAGGCCGGCGCCAAGCGGGAATTTCTCTACGTCAGGTGTGAAAGAGCTTGGAGCTCCTTGGTTGAGCTTCGCGCCGGGCAAAATAGGAATTGAGTTGTGAAGTTGTGTAATTGTTTAGAGATGTTATATGAGTTAAAAGTTGTGAGTTGATTGAGCTGCTATGTTGTTAAACAATGTTGATGAAATTGTGTTGTTGTGTTGTATTGATGAGATGTGTTGACCACTTAGGACTAGAGGAGATATTTTTGAAATTTGTTCATCTCATTGTGTAGATTGAGTGTGTTGACCACGTGTATGAAGCAACTATAGTATAGAGGTTAGGTTGAGCTATATTGATTACAAGTAACCAATCGAGTAAAGTACGAAGTCGGGAACTTAGTTCCTAATCGAGTATCGAAAGGTTGTAGAATTTGGGGAATAGTCGGTGGGCTAATCTCATAGGAGGCTTGATTAAGCTAGCTATTGTCGTCGTAGGCCCATACCCAGCTGTTTTACCCTAACATAGTGTTATACTTCCTTGTTTAAGTGGCGAAGTCTAAGAAACTGAGTTGCGTGTTGTGGATTGATATCCAAATGGTTGTTGATCTAGGAGGCCCAAAAAGATCACATGTATTGTCGGTTTAGTAGGATCTAGCCACTAAAACTGCTCACCCTGTGTGTTAGAAAATCTCTGAGTTGAAATGCATGACGACGCATATAGATGATGTGTTGAACTGTGGTGATATGTGTTGATGTGATGATAAAGTTGTATGTGTTCAATTATTGTTGAAACGAGATGAGATGTGTTATATGTTGTGATGTTTTGCTGATTGTGTTGGATGAAATGATGATCATTTTAATGTATTATGTGTTGTAATCATGTATATGAGTTTTTCATTTTACCTAGCTTACCCTTGCATGTTTCCATATGTTTTGGACTGCAATGATCATACATGGTATATGAGTATGGCAGGGATAGGCTAGAGAGTAGCAGTTGAGGCCACAGGTGATGCTTGAAGTTGAATAGTTTTCTTTTGTTGACTATCAAATGTGGTAGATTTTTGTATATATATTTTAGATGACTATGTTGTGTTGTGTTGTGTAGTGTAGTGTAGTGGCCATAACAAATCGTTATAACTTGCATATTTATTATATATTACTATTGTAAAATTTATTAGATATAATTATTATATAGAATTTTAATTACATATGTTGCTTAAATTATTTAAATATTTTAATTAAATTTTATTTATTAAATATGATTAATATTTAGTGTGATTAAGTCTTGATTTTTATATTTTAAGATAAATATTTTCAATTATATATATATATAAGACATTTGCATATTTTCAAAGTGAAATTCATCTATTATGATAGAAGAGTATTCAAATAGGATAAATATAAGATGTAATAGAAAGAATAAAATATTTATAAAATAAAATATTATTATAATTCATATATAGAGAGAGTAATTTTGATGATAAATTTTATACTAAAAATATTTTATGAACTTTTATTAAAAATAGTCAAACCAAACATAATTTTAAAATTTTAAAATTAGAAAATACAAATTATTTTTAAAAAAATAAAAAAATATATTTTTTGAAATCAAATACACTCTTAATTTCTCTCTTATTTTGTATATAGAAAGATTATACCTAATTAGAAAATCATTTTTATCATTCAGTCGACAATTATACCTAATTTTATTAATGTGACATGTTTGTATACTTAAAAAATTACATTTTTTTAAAATTTTGAGTATTTATAATGAAATCAAATAATTGATATTTAACTTATTCAATTTCACATAAATAAAGTTTTTTTTATTTAATTATAACTTGTCCCTTTTCTTTTTACCTTTCTTCACTTTTTATCTATAAAAAAGGTATGCATCTATTATTTCTCATAATCAAATTAAGATCATCATTAATTGAAAAAAAATCACAAGTTGGTACAATGTATTAATAGCGAATAACAACTAAGAACTTAGAAGTATAAGTTTACTAATATCTAAACATGTACTATATACCACACGTATGAAATGGAACAACTATATATACATATGTGATATAAAATACAACATTTTAATAAAAGTAAGTTGTACAATCTAAATTGTCGGTCAAACAACTTGTATTATCTATACAATTAACTACTTAGGATAGCTTCAAAACATCAACTCCAGCATCACCAAGTGGCCTCCACTTCCTCTCTCCATAAGTTTATCCTTACTTTATTCTCCACATCAACAACTCAGGTTTTCAACAAACAACACAGTGTATCCATCATAGCACTTTCAACATGGTATATGCAACACAGAAAATTCAACTCAATTTATACAACATAGCAACTACATGTATCGTCACGCACTTCAACTGGAGATCTCCTACAACAAGTATGAGAAGTTTAAGTGGCTTGGCTCTACCCAACCAATAACATAGAGGACCTTTTTAATCCAACTAGGTCAACAACTAATGTTTAGATAATAACCCACAACACAAAAACTTGATTTCTCGAATGTCATCACTTAAACTGAAAAGTTTATTACTACTATAAAGGAAGAAGGAGAACAAACCTTGAACAACTCCAAAGTTCTACATCTCAATTCCAACAACCTTGAATCACCTACTAAATGCTCAACAGAGATCTTGTACAACTATTGAGAGGATAAAAGGAAGAAGAATAGTTTTAAAATTCTAAAGCTCCTCTATCAAATTTATCTTTCTAAAATTTTTAAGAATGAACTTATGAAACTCAATTCTAATTTTATATATCTCCCTCCAAAGTCAAACTTTATACATCTGTCCAAGGAAGCTCCCTCCTAAACCACCTAAACTCATGAGAATCTTTAAATGTTAATAGTTTATCAACAATAACCAACAAAATATTCACAAAAATTAATTATTAAAAGAAAATAACAATAGTTAAGTAAATATACAATGTTACGATCGTTATCACATAAATAAATTGTTATTTCTTTCATTCCTCTTTTTCTCCTCCTAAAAATTAAATTAAACAAAAAAGTTTTATTACTCAAACCATCACTATATAAGAGAACATGTTATCTATTTTAAGGAAGTTACAACTAATTTACTTAAAATTGTAGTAGGTTATTTAATTTATATATAAGTACTATTATAATACCCCTTCATACATGTGACATCGATTGATTTCAACTATAATGACCTAAGTTAACTCTTGGCATATTGTGTCAAGATCGTTTATTTAGATTAAATTTTAAGTCCACTCGATCTAAAACATTAATTAAATAGAAACTATCATAAATATAAATTTTAAAATTACTAAAAAAAACGAGGATTATATTATTATGTATATAATAAGAGAGAGGTTATAATTATACCGGTATAACTTTTACTAAGTATTACACCACTTAATAACTTTATATTAAATGTGAATTTTATAAATCCAACTATTAAATTGATAGTTCATATCTCTTAGATCATATATACAAAATTTTATATTAATCCAAGATCATTTAATACTTTATTTTTATAAAACAAAATTGATGTAATATATTTATTTCAAAATACACTAAAATATGAACACTTTGATTACCTTCAAGTTATTGTTCAATTTTAACAAAATTTGATATACATATATAAAGTGATATGAACTTTCAAGCTAACGATTAGATTTACAAAATTCACAATTAATATAAAGTTATTGAACGGTATAATACTTATAACCTCTCTCATATAATAATACATTGAATTGCGTTAAATGATATATTATTATGTATATAATTTTATATTAAATGTATAATACAAGATTTATTTTTCTCATAAAATTTACTGGTGCAGTGTTTCTTATTTAGGTGAGCACGTGCTGTGACTTAATTATCATTTTAAGTTGTCAGTTTCCGTCAATGACAATATTTGTCTCTCACACTCTATTGACGTGATATTTCTTTTAATCACATTTAATAGTTAGTTATTAATCTTTCTCAAATATACAAAAATAAGTATTTTTTTAATATAGTCAAAATTTAAACTTTAAATATCTTAATAAAAAATATAAATTGTTATCACTTATTTCAAGTTATATTAATTGTGATATGTTTGTTTATTTAAAAATTATATTTTTATTTTTAGTTTTGATTATTTATAATAAAATCAAATAGCTGATATTTAATTTATTCAATTTCACATAAATAATTTTTTTAATTTAATTATAACTTGTCCCTTGTCTTTTTTACTTTTCTCCTCATTTCATCTATAAAAAGAAAAAAAGAAGAAAAAAAGAGAGGTATACATCCACTATTTCTCATAATTAAATTAACATCATCATTAATTGGAAACGAACAAACAAATTACAAGTTGTGACGGTTTATTGGCAAGAAAGAAATAATTATTTGGTAGAAGAACATTCACATAACAACGGAGAAGGTAAAAAGAGTTGAAGTTTTGCAGACTACTTTTTAGCATTTTGACCCATAAGAACTTGACGAACCATGTTGTCTAAATTAAGAAACGAAGATCCATGAGGGCAAGAAGCAGCAGCTTTTGCCAATTCCTTCCATTGCAAAGCTTTGTCCTTCATCTCTTTACCCTTTTCACCGTCCATCAACTCCCTCACGAGGCTTTCTATTTTGTCCCTCTTAACATCTTCAATCTCCAATCCAATACCCCATTCATTGCAACTGAACCGACAATTGGTTTGTTGCTCAGCAAAGAAAGGCCAACATATCATAGGAACACCTCCACACACACTTTCCAACGTTGAATTCCAACCACTGTGTGTCAAAAACCCTCCAATCGCGGGATGTGCCAGGACTTGCTCTTGAGGACACCAACTAGATAACATGCCTCTGTTTTTTGTCTGTTCCACAAACTCTTGAGGTACAACAGCGTTTTCACCCGCCACAAGATCTGGTCTTATGACCCACAAAAAGGTCTTGTTGCTATTAGCAAGTCCCCATGCAAATTCAATCAATTGCTCACTCGTCATAACCGTGATGCTTCCAAAATTCACGTAAACAACACTATTGGGCTCTTTGGTGTCAAGCCACTCCACACACTCAAACTCCTCCTTCCAAAGATTGGACCCAATTGCGTTCAACTCCTTATCATCAGCATCCTTCACGAGCAAATTCAAAGGACCTATGGAATAAACAGGAGGCAAAATGGATGATAACCCTTCCAACACGTCATGCTCTAAGTCATCAAACGTGTTCAAAAGTATTGCAGAAGCTCTTTGAGCTCTCCTACACTCCCCTAGTATGAAGTCAATCATAAGATCATCTGAATCTGTGGTTCTAACGAAACTCGGAATATCCCTCAATCGAATTTCCTTGATACCTGGTATCCAATCAATGGTAGTCTCCAAATACCCATTCGTGAGATAACTCGAGTCTGCATATCAATCACAAAAAAGTTAATTCAACTAATTAAATTAAACTCATATAAACTATATATATATATTAACTAGATTAGTCTCTGTGTCTAAAATATCCATCACAAGACAAAATAGAATCTATTATTATATATTATTAGCTAGCATAAAAAATCATATGAACTAGACTTTTTCTAGACTTGTCTAACATATAGAGTAGAATGTAGGAAACCAACATGAAAAATTACCTTTGAGGGGTGTTAGGCCCTTTTGAACGAGTTGTTGGTATTGGACGTAACACATGAAGCCACATGCACTAGTGGTCCAAAACAGCACCTCTGGGACACCCAGTTCCTGAGCAGCATCAAGTGTGAAGCTCATGACACCATCAGAAAGTATGCAAGAGACAGGAGGGGCATCTGAATAAGCATTGATTTTTCTAAGGAGGTTTTTGAAGTGAGGGGAGCAAGTTGTTCTAGTGGAGTCACAGAGGGAAGCTATATCCTGTGTGGCATCGACATCGGATTCAGGTAGGCCATCGGGGATGGTTTCAAAGCGAAAGGAAGAGAGGCCATCGAGGGAATGAGGACCTCTTGCCTTGAGAAGGCGTTTGTGGTTGTACTCGGTGTTAACGAAGGTGATGTGGAAGCCTCTCAAGTGAAGGAGTTTTGCTAGCTTTAGCATTGGGTTTATGTGGCCTTGTGCTGGGTACGGTATGCACACGGCATGTGGCTTTTTCATTGTGCTCAAGGAACCCATGTTTGTTTGTTATTATCTCTTGGATTGCACTTGTTACTTAGGAAGAAGATACAAGTGGTGGCTTCAACCCCTCTATTTATAAGGAAATGGCTCCGTGGCGGTGTTTATTTTCAAATTAATGTCAACTTTTGCTGCCTATCACTTTAAAAGGCTAATCATTTAAATAGCTCAAACAATAACATAAGGGCGGCTTCAAATTACACTTTCACATTACAATTATAAGCTTTTAGTTCTTCACATATTTTCAACATTTGTTTTAGTAAATAATATCTCACTTATTTTATAACTTTTTTAATATTTTAAATGATTGAGATAAGCCTAAATAAAGCTATGGAATAACAAGTTATGCACATAATTTGAAGAAGTTTATTGTGATAAAATTTTGATGAATAGTGATAGTTATGCAGTGATAGTTACATTTAAAACTATTTATTTATTCAAAGGAGCTTAAACAATGAATTTTTCTACTCCCTATATATATGGTGTAAAATATTTTTATATAATTAGTTGAATTTGTTTTGACTTTATATGGAAGAAAATAAAAATATTATATATAAATCATAAATTAAGGGATGATAGTTTTTAATTAAAAATAAAAAGATATAATTTACTCAATCAAAAATACTTACTTAGATATTTATAGGAATATAAAGAATTTAAACAAAAAAAACTATAATTTAATCAATTATTATAGTTAAGTCTGGTCTTCACACAGTCTGACGAAACGAAACGTCATCTTGACGGACCGACACATGTGCATTATTACAACAGATGAGAGAGTATGCGTATTGCGTAATAGCTAGTTTGGTGAAAAATAATAAAGGAGACCAGAATGAGTCTTTTAATAAACAAATTATAAATTCGAATCATTTTGAATTTTTTTCTACTTTAAAACTTACGGTACGTTTCAACATATCAAGTTAATTTTGACTTAAAGCCATTTTTTTTAAAAATTACTGCATATATGTTTATGATTATATAACTTATGATGTATTCATGCAGAGTTTATGAAAAATAGAAAGACCACCGAAGGTTTTTTTTATTTTTATCTATCTATATATATATATATAGAGGAATGTTAATATATTCTCACCTATTTTTTAGTGGGAATATGTTAACAACCTACACCAAAATTTTAAGATAAAAAAATTACTCATTTATTTTGATTTGGTTAATTTGTATGAAAGATATTGTAGTAATTTAATTTAATTTTAGATAAAAATAAAATATTTTCTCTCTCTTATTAATTTTATTCTCTAAGTCATTTCTCTCTCCTATTAAATTCTTTCTCCAACTTATTTATCTTTCCTATTAAATTCTTTCTTTAACTTATTTACTTATCTTCTATTAAATTCCTTCTTTAACTCATTTCTCTCTCATCTCTCATGATGTCTTTCCCTCTCTCTGAAAAAAAATTAATTAATAGAAAAATAAATGAATTGGAGAATGAAATTAATAAGAGAGAGAAAATATTTTATTTTTATTTAAAATTAAATTAAATTATTATAATATCATTTGTACGAATTAACCAAATCAAAAGAAATGAATGATTTTTTTGTCCTAAAATTTTGATGTAAGTTGTTAATATACTCCCACTAAAAAGTAAGTGGGAGTATATTACCATTCCATATATATATATATATATATATATAGTAAGATTTTGATGCATTTTTATAATTATTGATCAAAATTTTATGTAATTTTATATTTTAATATGGATATTTATGGTACATTCTAAACCATGTGATATTTTTCTTCAAAACAAGTATGACATTATTTATAATTGTCTAAGAGAATCTCTAACGTGATTGCTTATTTGAGTTTTTTAAAGTTAAGAAACAAAATTTCATTTAATTTATCATTGGACCAAATGATGTGACATTGTTTATTTAATTACAATTACTTATATAAGTATCGGTGCTTAAGATATTTGTAATAATAAAATGGAATAAGAAATGATGTTACCCCGATGGAGTAATATAATACTAAAGTGCTTACAAGTATACATAGCAAATTGGACCTAAAAAAAATAAATAAGGAACTCTTTTGACAATTATGCAATGGAGATGCTCTAACTCGCGTTATTTTGGTGCAGAGTAAATGGCAAATTCAAAGACTATCAAATACTTTATCTCTTCATTTAATGATTATATACAATCATTCTATTGAATTTAACTTTGTAGAAGCATTTGTGGTGTGTATATCTGTAACGACCCGGCTGGTCACTACACACAACACAGCATACTAGAATACTATAACAAGTATATATATATAGGATCTAGAATATATATATATATATACAAGGTCCAACAGCAAATGCTAACTAAGTAGCTAAATACATCAAAAGAATAAAACTACATCTGTCAGCTGCACACCTTCTTCAACAAGACACCAACCTAACCCTGCCCTGCTCCTATACATAGTATGATCGTCGCAGTCCAAACCACATGGAAACAACAAAGGGTAAGCTAGTGAAAAGAATCAGCATACATATGTGAAATATGAAGGATAAAAAACTACAGCTATCAGCACATCAACTAGCTTAACAATATCAGCTTAGCATATCACAACATTCAGCAATAACAGCACCGACATAGCGGCTATAACAGCACCACAATAGTGGCTAATAATAGCACCGGCATAGCGGCTATAGTACCACAATAGTGGCTAATAACAGCACCGGCATAACGGCTATAATAGCACCACAATAGTGGCTAATAACAACACCGGCATAGCAGCTATAGTACCACAATAATGGCTAATAACAGCACCACAATAGTGGCTAATAACAACATACATCTCAGAACAACACAACAATATACAACGAATACAACTTTAAATTAGCATAAACAACATTCGGCACAACATAGCTCATCGTTTAACAACAATTATCAGCAAATTTAAGCTCATAAGACATCATCTTATCCGCGCCCGCTGCACTCATGGTCGCGCCTGGCGTGGCACAACCAGAGGACACCAGGGGTCATCGCGCCCGGCGCAATTCCTATTGCGCCCGGCGTGATAGGAGGCAGAGACCTCACAAGGTCTCATACGCTTGGCGTGCAAACCCGCGCTAGGCGCAAGGTAAGCAGAGACCTTCCCAGGGTCTAACGTCCGGCGCAATATAAATTACGCCCGGCGCCACCTCTGGCAGAGACTCCCAAGGAGTCTCTACGCCCGACGAGATAAGGTCACGCTTGGCGCCACACCAGAACCACAAAGCACAAGTCACCTACTGACCAGCGCCCTCTCACCACGCCTAGAGTGGGCCATCCAGAGGCTCACATTCTGAAGCTCGCCCGACGCATACACCACTGCGCCCGACGTGCTTGCCCAAATGAAGCCCTCTGATGGTCGCGCTCCCGGCGCGAAAAACTGCGCTCGGCGTGATACCAAACAACAACTCACCAAGTTTCAAAATTTTCTCCAAAACTTGCACTAAAACAACTTTCCAACACATGCAATCGGCCCAAAACACCACATTTTCACCAAAGAGTCCAAAAACATCACCTTTTTCAACGTGCAATCATAAACAAGGAAAAACCCAAATTTCACCCCAAACCCGGAAACCCTGAAAATGAGTTTTCATAAAAAAAATGCTTAAATCCTGCGAAAATCTCAGCAATTTGTGAGTCCTAGCTCACTAAACACAAAACCGGCAAGAAATCCTAGCTTTCCTTACCTCGGTACAAGGATTCCGAGCTCCGGGAAGAAGAATCGGAGAAGAAGACGAAGGACGACCGGAGACCCACGGAGAAGAAGACTTCAGCTAAGCTTCCCGCCCTAAGAATCAGCACCTTGAATCCAAGAAGGAAAAAGAACAGCCAAGTGAGGAATCTAGAGGGTAGAAGAAAGTGACTGAGAGAATTTGAGTGAGTGAGAGTGGGAAAAGAGAGAAAAGAAGGGTCTCACAATATCAACCAACATTTTGATTCATTTAGCTGAACATTTCTTACAAGTTTATAAAATTTACTATACTCTCATTTTGAGTATTCAAGATAAAATGTATATGAGTTTTAACTTTTCTGTAAAACCAGTAGTTTATGTAGTCTTAACTGATAAACATTACATGATGCTTTTTAGTAAAATTGTAATTGATTTTCATTTTACATTGATTTTAGTTATAATTTAATATATATTTTTTAATGATTTTCATGATTTAGCAAAAGTTGTATGATTGAAAAAAACAACAGCTGCACTTCAAAAAAAAAAAAAAATGAATCATATGCTACACTTCTTTTATGGACTTCTTAGTTGGTAAAAAAGTCACATACTCCAAACTATTTATCAACAAAATAATTAGGTTCACAATTGAAACACTCCATATACAATATATATACAAATTTTTTTCATTCAAGTCTATCAAACTTTCAAATACTTAAGAAGATTGATACCAATTGAAGTAAAGATCTTGCATTTACTGTTATCTTTATCATTTTCCATTACTTATCTAACATTATTTGTACATTTTCATAGATGATGTTGACTTATTGACAAAAGGATATGGTTTTATAACTCTTGAAGTAGAGGGTAGAATCTAAACTTATTGACCAAAACTATTTTATATTTTGTGTCCAAATTGAGTGTATGTTGTTCAAATCATGTGCAGACCAACTAATTGAGTTTTTAGTTGATTATGATGAAAGATATCATGATATTCCTATTATAGGGCTCAAATCTACAAGGATTTTTCCATTTTGTGGTCTTCTATTTGGACTTCCTAATTGTAAGTAAAATTATATATATATATATATATATATATATATATATTTG